TGTCAGCCGCCCGGGGCGGAGGAAAATTTCGCCCCCCCTTATTTAGGTATTTCAATTTAAAAGACCAAAATTTAGTTTTGTCACAGAACAAGCAATGAAAAATTCGGTGGTAGTGCAGCGACCTGTTTAAAATAATTCTATTGGATATTAGTGGTGTATATGAACACGAATGAATTGTACAAGCAAAGAAAAGAAAAAAGGTCAACAGGTTTTGCAGGAATTCTCGGATGAAAAAGCTACTAGTTCACCCGGTGAGCCGATTCCCGGACTGTCTGGACGATAGCACTATCATAGGCGCGATGCAAGTATAGATTAGGATGTTTCAAATTTTTACAAGATTATTATTATTTATTGTGAAATTTTGCCGCCCCCTAAAAAGTGCCGCCTGGGGCCGCCCCTGCCACCCCCACTATGGTATGCCACTGAATTATTTTATACATATACAGTAGAGCGTCGATTTTCCGAATCAATTGTGTGAGATCAGCCAGGACATAGATCTTAGTCTACGACACTTACGGCGCGCGATCGTGAGATCGGCTCTCGTAACTTTTTATAGGAGGGCTGTTATATTTAGGAAAAGGGGATTCAAGACTGTGAAGTCTTTATCCCAAATTGTCAGGGTCCCGACACCAGTTAATCACTGTTATTATACGCGGATTAACACGCGTATGCGATCTGATCCGTTCACGCAATTAAAAGATAGTTTTAATTAAAACGAAATATTAAATTTAATAAAACAAGAAGATAAATCATACAAAAATCTCAATGAACGAGAGATAGAACTACTACAACTAATATACAAATCAGGAGATAATTAAACTTATATTCTACCCTATTCGNATTGTATTTAAATATTTTATGTAAATACAAATGTAAATATTTATGTATTTATCATGTTTTTAAATATAATTTATGATTTATTTTTGTTTTTTGTTGAAACATATAGCAGAAATAAATTGGATGCTTCTTAATTCAAGCCAATTGGCTTGGATTAAGAGGCATCCAGATTAGTATAGATTTGGATTAGAGAGAGTGCAATATAAAATAAATCTTTTCTGTTGATAATGTAATAACTATTTATTTTTAATAATAATAATAATAATTTATTACAGGTTACAATAAAGAAATTTTTAAATAAAATGAGATTTATTGTTATAAATGAAGATAAATTTAAATGTGAATATAATTCAAGACATTATATTTGATAAATTGTAATGGTAAAAACCAACGAAGAAACTGTTGACCAGAGACAGTATAATCAAAGCCAGTCAAATATTCAACGAGGAAAATGGAAGAAAAAACCTCCAGAAGGCTCAGATGAAATGGTTACATTAACAAAATCACAACTTCGAGCTATTTTAGAAGCAATTGGACAAATTGGGCAAAGAAGAGGTTAGACATTTCATATTTAATTGAATTTTAATAGATTTATGAAATAATTCTTAAAAATAAATGCTTTAAAAAATTAAACTTTACAATTATAACTAATCACAAATAATCTTAATAATTTATTTATTTTCTACAATTAAAGTGAATATATTACAGTGGAACCTTGCTTAATGAGCACCTTGCAAAATGAGTGCTTTGCATAACGAGCAAAACAAATTGTAAAAAATTGCCTCCCTTAATGAGCGATGTTTCGCGTAATGAGTGACAAGGAGAAGGAAAGTCCTGAATTTTGCACATGCACCATCAATCTGTGTTTAGCACTCATTCCACTAGCATCTTAGTGTTGCTTGTGATCACATATTTTCCCAAACTTGTGTTCACACATATTACGTTTAAACATCAACAATCAACAGGCCCATTAATATGGCAAATTCTTGGGCTATGTAAAGGCTATAATTAAATATTAGAAATTGATTAATTTGACTAGAGGTAGGTAGTTATGCTGCCATCTTGTATTAAATTTAATGACCAATTCTAAATTAAATTTTAGAAATGTCTGAATTAAAAATTAACTATTTATAATTATTAAATTTTTATTAATATATTATTAATATTTTAAATTAAATTTTAAAATTATTAAATTATTAATTATAGCTTTTACATAGCCCAAGAATTTGGCATATCGTTTGGAGTGTTTATCAAACATATTATCTGTGATTTTTTTGTTTT